TTCAACGAGATGGATTGACACAGTGGCTGCAACGATGAGCTCAGACATAACATAGCAACGATTGTGAGGATGGCGCGGGACCGGGCAGTGTTTCGTTCTGTTGCATGTAGGGTCGCTCTGAGTCAGAACTGACTCGATGGCACCTGACAACAACAACAACATCCATAGGAAATCACTCACACAGCAGCCACAAATCCTCTAGCAAAAGGAAAAGACCTGGGAGCAAAACTTTCCTTGGAGTGCACCTTCCCTTTGAGTTCTGGGAGACACAGGGAGCTGAACTGGCCTTAGCTGAGGCCTGGCACCTCCTCTGTGCTGTCTGGTTGTCTGGTTCGAGCTTTCACAAGACCCCCAGCAGCTCGTAGGGAGTTCTGTGGCTCTTCCTCATAGCTCTGTAGCTGAACAACCCAGAATTGCTTTCCCGAGTGAGAGAGTATTTAACTGAAATGGAGCACTCTTGTTACCCAGTTGTTAGGCATGGAGTTCCTTGTTTGTTTGGTGCCTTGCAGGGCACACAGCAGCCTAGTGGGGCCAAGAGGGCAAGAGGCGATACCACTTATTTATATTTGACTTAAGGCTTTTTCAAAAGCAGTACATGCACATAGTAAAAAAAAATTCAAACAGTACCAAGGAGTACGCAGTAAAAAGCCAATCTTTGTCTCACTTCCAGCCCTCAGTCTGCTAGCTCTCTTTTCGCAGGCTGCTCCTCTGTCTGGTCCTGTGCACAGCCTTCCAGAGAGAATCTGTGCATCTGAGAATCTAGATGTCTCTCGTTCCCCCTCCGTTCTTACTTAGTAGCTCACTCAACAACTATCCTACACCTTGCTTTTTCACTTAACCCTATATCAAATGCCATTTCAGATCTCATTGTTACTGATGTTGCATAGCATTCCCTTGTGTGGATGTGGCATAATTTGTTTAGATTGTATTTTGTATTTTATTATTACAGACAACACTGTAGTAAATCTTTGTTTCATTTATGAGCATACATATAGAATAAATACCAGACATGGACTATCTGGGCCAAAGGGCATATGTATCCTAAAGTTTGGTGGACATTGCCAAGTTGACTTCCAGCTAACTTTTTTGAAAGATGAGGAGAGGCCCAAAGAGGTGGTGTATGAAGTTGGTCTGAATTTCGTCAATGTGTGAGCAGCACAACAGGAGAGACCCAAAGAGGTGATGTATGATGTTGGCCTCGGGTTCCTCAGTATGTGAACGATCATGCAGGAGCCACCAGGCTCTGTCTCCAGGCCCAGGCCTCTTCTCTGTTTCCAACCTGCCTCTCCCTGTTGGTGGCTCAAAAGGTCCCCCTGGCCCTCTGAGCCCTTGCTTCAGCCCTGTCACCTTCTTCTCTGACCCCGTCACTCTCCCACCCTAGTTCCCCAGCCTCCTGCCACAAACTCTCTTCAGTGATTAAGTTGAATATTTCCTGAAATCCTCAGACCTGTTGCAGGACTCCAGGGATGCCCACAGTCTCTCCAGGACTGGGACTTTTTCACCTCAATAAGCATAGGGCTGCTGGGCTGCTGCCCTCCCAGGGCTGCCTCTGCTATGGTGTCACCTCCCCCACACACTTTCCCCTCTTGGTCATGCCCTCCTGCCCAGTGTGGTGAGAAAGCTTTCTACAGCACCCACTACCATTATGTCCTGCCCTGCTTTAGACTTCTGTTGACTGATGGTGGCTCTCCCAGCAGTGGCTCTTTCCGGCTTCCTGGAAGCTGGAAAATGCCTTGTGTGATCTGATGCCTGCAGACCCTTCAGGCTTCTCTTTCACTGGGCCCCTGCTGTCTTCACACACACAAACCCATCCCCCAGTGTTCTGGTCACAGTGAATGACTGACCCTGTGGGTGCTGCCAGAATATCTGCTCACCCATGGTCCTATTTCTGTTGCTGTCTCTCAAGGTTCCCAGAAAGGAAGTCCCTGAGGGCAGGATCCTGGTCCATTTGTGTTTGTGTCCTCTGTGCACGCAGGGGGCTGGGCCCCAACAAGTGCTGAGTGGGCCCAGGTGTAAGAGCCCAAGCTGGCTGTGCTGTTGGTGAGCAGAACCACGTGCCCTCCAATCTGGTCTCTGGGAGAAGTGCTGAGAGGGGAAGGGCAGCCAGAGGCATCCCTGGGCTTAGTGACAGTGCTTGGTCCCTTCTGTGGGCCTTGGGCCCCATACTGGATCCTCTCCAACCTCCCAGCCCTTTTAATCAAAATCTTTTGGGCCAAAAGAGCTTGTGGCCACTAACTCTGTAAGAGAAGATGTTGTCAGTTGTTAAGATTTGGCTGGACCTGGCTCCTGGGCAGCTTGGAGTATCTATTCTGGAGTGCTGCCACTGCTTGAGAGAGTTCTGTGATAGCACCTCCCCCCCGCCACAGTCTCAGACAGGTGGGGCCTCTGGGCTGAGGATGCCCTGATTTGGAGTCAGAGCCACCCCCAAGGCTGTTTGTGGGAGGCCCTTGGCCTCAGATGGTGACTCCCTGCCTGAGGAGTCGGGTGCAGCATCACTGGCCATGCCCAGGCCACTGCTCACCCCTGGGCAGTGGGGACAGTGCAGCCCTATCCCTCCACTTCTCTCTTTGGAAACATCCTCAAGTCGTAGGGCTGCTCACCATGGGGATGACAAGGGGGAAGCCAGAACTTAGGGATCTGAGTCCATGGTTCCCTTCAAAGTGGTCGCCGTGGAGCTGGTATCACTGGAGGGCTGATGTGCAAACCACAAGGATTCGCCCAGAGCAGAGCGACCCGGCTCAACTGTATTCACAGGGCTTGACCTGAGTGAACTTTGACCATTTCCTCAAATCAAGGCCACTCTCAAAGGACAAAGATTTGCTGCCTCTGGGGACATTCAAAAGAAAATGAATGATGCTAGCTTTTTGATCACCTTTGTCACCTTTGATCAGTGGCAAGGTTAGAATTACGATCCAGTGGCCCAGCTCTTAAGAAAATGCATTCCCTCTGGGCCACTGACTTAAAAGAGCAACTCCAACTGACCTCGTTGCTTTGGACTTATACCGCACAGAATATCCAGGTGTGGTGGGCTCAGTCTAGAGAAAGGAGGAGGAACCAGAGAGCTATTTTAAAGGTACTTACAACTTCTGCCACTTAGTGACCATTTGTGTGTCTGTCAGGGCTTTTCCTATACAGCTGTAGCTAGGCATCCAACCCCCATTTTCAGATGAGGAGACTCAGGCTCTGAGAGGAAGTGGCTCGCAAGGACACACAGCTTGTAAGTGCAGAGCCAGGAGCTGAACCTCCAAAGCTGGGCCTCTTTTTCCACCTTTTGCTGTTGTTTACTGAAGAAGACCAGGCAAATGACCAAAGGAGTCCACTTGGGTCCTGGGTGAAAACAAAGATCATTCCATTTAACTTTGAGCTGAGGCTACTCAGAGGTGACTATAGATGTGCCTGGCTTGGCTTTTCAGGAGGCTCTGAGCCTCTGGTAGGATGAAGGGCAGAGTGGCCAAGTGTGACTGTTCGAGTCCTAGCCAGTTAGGAGGTGGCTTATGGAATGGGAGCAAGAGTGGAAGGATTGAAGGCAGGGCAGAGGGGGCCAGATGACTTCAGGCCAGATGATTCCACATCATTTACCACACCCGTGTTTCCTTTTATTTCAGATGTTTTCAAGTCAGCAAACATTTACTGAGCATCTATTATGTACAAGGTGCAGTTCTGGGTGCTTGGTGGGGTGAGGTCGGGAGACAGGTGAACGAATCACAGCACGTTTGCTGCCGTTGGGGGAAGTGGGCCTAACAGGGAGGCCGGCACGGAGATGGCATTGGGCTCCAAAAGCAGTGGTGACTTGCTCAGTAAGGACTCAGCACAAGGGCCCCCTAAGTCTGCTTGGGGCATGAGGGAAGGCTTCCTGGATGAGGGGACCTTTGCCGCGGGCTCCAAAGGACAAGTCCCATTTTGTTGGGCTGAGAAGTGGGGAAGGATTTCCAGGCAGATTGCTGTAGTGGGGTCTGCCAGACCCTTTTGGCTTAGACACCTTGCTCATAGTCGTGGACCTCTGAAAGGAGACCCAGCTACCAGGGTTTTGTTCCCAGCTCCTGGCGGTCCCACCGAGAGCTCCTAGCTGGCCTGTCTTCCTGAACGTGGCACTGCCTGCCTGGTCTGTAGTCCCACCTCAGGCCTAGGAGATCCTGGGGTGAGGATCTTCTTCCTGTAACAACAGGCCCACCCCTGCCTGCCCTGCATGTAACTTTGGCCACCAGGCTGGCTCTTGGGCTGAAGGGTAGCAGGAACAGGGAGGTTTGCTGCCATCTGGTGGGTAGGACTCTGGCCACGGCCTGGCTTCCCTGGGCTCCCTCAGTTAGTCAAAGGGCACCAGCCCACTGGTGACACCTTCTGTTTTCGGTGCACCAGGCCCAGACTAACTTCGAGAAACATGGTCTTTTCCCCTGCTGGAGGGAACTGAAGAGGGACCCTCCCCTCTGTCCTGTATGCCGACCTCTCCGGGCCAAGAAGCCTCAGGCAGCCCCTCTGATGCATGGAGGAGATGGGTCAGGGTCTTTTGGTCCAAAAGGGACTGCTGAGGGGCAGAGGCCAGGTCCCCCTTCTCAGCATCCCACTTCCTGTTCCCCTTAAAGGGCAAGGGCCCTCTCTACACTTGCAATTGGGCCTCAGGACGGAGGTGACTAATCCTAACAGAATCAGCTTGTGTTCTCATCGCTCTGGCCCAGCCTGATCTTATTACCAGATGAGAACATGTCTTACTGGGTTTAACTTTGATGGCTGTGGAGACAGAGCACTTTGAGTAACAGGCAGCCACACTGTGTCCTGAATAAACCCTGGACCCTCCTACCTTGTCCTGGCCAGGGCTGGAGACCGTCACCCAGCTAGCACTTTCTACCCCCTGCCCATCCACGTTGTGCTAGGACCCCAGGTGCCCCTGCATAGTAGCTGGGGGTGAGGCGGGGGGCGGGGGTGGCTTCACACCCCACCCTGCTCCTCCACTGCTGAAACCTGGCTGCAGGCGTGGGGCCTGGGCTCTGGCCCTGGCCTGCTCAGACTAATGCTCTCCCTACTCTTTCTCCCTCTGGAGATGAACATCTGCAACAAGCCCTCTAACAAGACGGCGCCTGAGAAGAGTGTGTGGACAGCGCCTGCACAAGCCAGCGGACCCTCCCCGGAGCTGCAGGGCCAGCGGTCCCGCCGGAATGGGTGGAGTTGGCCCCCTCACCCGCTCCAGATTGTGGCCTGGCTGCTGTACCTCTTCTTCGCTGTGATTGGCTTTGGGATCCTTGTGCCCCTCCTGCCTCACCATTGGGTGCCTGCTGGCTATGCTGTATCCTTGGGAGATTGTGGGGCTGACACAGGGAAGAGGGGGTGCTAGATGGTCCGATGCAGCCGAAGCCTGAAGCTAAGCTCAGAGCTCAGAGAGCACAGGGTGGGGCAGGGCAGGGCAGACTCTGTCTCTGCTGTGTGGACTAGCTGCTCACTTGCCTGGCCTCTAGCCGCTACCTGACCCCTCCACCCCTGCCACCCCGTGGGGTAAGCGGACAGACTGAAAGTCCCTTGGAGCATCTGAAGCCCCACACAGATGCGACTCGCACCACCTGAGGTACCCAGGTGCTATTACAGAGGAGGAGAGCCTTAAAGCTGTCTTTAAGCTAATTGTATCCAGAGCTAAACAAGGGATCAATAAGGGAGTAATTATTCCATTTATGAAAGAATTTTTCACTTTTCAAAGAGAGTCACAGTAGAATTCTTTTACATAGTAAGTTTCTGGTACATTTAAAATGTGGTTTTATTTACGGACAGATTATTATGCTATACCAGAACTATCTGGGAGCACATTAATTTTGTAAAAGAGACCCTTTTAGGGTGAGGTTGAATGTGGCGAGAGGCTGGGATAGGGATGTCCCGGAGGCCTGGGAACAGTGGCAAATGTAGACTTCCCAGCCCTGGCCATGGTCCCCAGGAGAATAGAACTGGCTACGAGGCCAGAAGATTGGGGAACAGCAGGCAGCTTTGTGCCTCTTAACCGGAGGTACCTGTGAGAGTGTGCCCTGGCAATGTGTGCTTCATGGAGAAGATTCCCCGGAGAGGAGGACTAGGGCCCAGCTGCGGGTGGTTGGCAGGGATGAGCTTGAAAGCTTGCGGCATGGAGTCAGTATCTGAGCTCAGTGCCAGCTCTCCAAGCTCTGGGCCTCTGCCTCCTCTGTCTGACAGGAAGGGTTCCTGCCTGTTCCTAGGGTGGGCACGAAAAGCACGTAAGGATGTGTGTGTGAGCCAGAATACATGAACCGTAAGGTAAGCAAGCTCTTGGGAAGCCACTGAGCTCTGGGCTGGTGGATAACAAGGGCAGGTGTGGAGAAGGCCCCTAGAGAGGATTGTTGTACTCAGACGCCAGCAGTGTCATTGGGGCTTCCTGGTTCAGTAGGCCCAGAGTTTTGTAATCAGCTCTGTAAATGAAAAATTGGACTTGCCCTGAGGTGACTGACAGGCGTTAGAGCTGGTAAGTGGAATGCTCTAGGGGACCTTCCTTCCCTCACCTGGAATGGGTACATCCCTCACTCAGGATTACCTGGGTTTCTGCTGTCAGGGCACCTGGAAAGCCAGATTAATAACCGTGTGGTTTGCAGAGAGTAGGATCAGAGCAGCTCACAGTAAATAAGAGTAACTAGCATTTATTACACACTTCCAGGTGCCAGGAAGTCCCTGGGTGGTACAAATGGTTAACATGCTTGGCTGCCAACTGAGAGGCTGGTAGTTCAAGTCCACCCAGAGGCTCCTTGGAAGAAAGGCCTGGCTATCTATAAAAAAAAAAAAAAATCAGCCATTGAAAACCCTATGGAGCACAGTTTTACTCTGACACACATGAGGTCACCATGAGTCAGAATCAACTTGATGGCAACTGGTTTGTTTTGTTTATAGGTGCCGGGCACTGAGGGCTGGTTGGGCAGCCTGACTGAGGCTGTAGGATGGCTCTGAGAGGGGTTTTGTCCTCCACATGCAGTGTCCATCTGCTTTGGGTAGTGTGGAGGTTCCCACAGCCCCTGATCTGGCACCCTATTTCCAGGCCTGTACAGTTCTCCTTCCTTCCATCAAAGCCTTCATCTTTCTGCAGACTCCCTCGGGCCCCTGAGGGATGAGGTAGGGTAGTGGTGTGTACTAGGTACCCACCTGGACCTGGCCTGGGCCCTAAAGATGAAAAGATGAGTAAGGCAGTCCCCAGCTTAGGCTGCTCAGCCTCCAGCCGTGAAGAGACTTGTGGATTGGAGGCCACAAGTAAAGACCATGTGGTAAATATGGGATAGAGGCTCATACAGCAGGCTGCGTGCAGGAGGAGGGCTGCTCATATAACATGACCACATGCCCAGACGCACCGTTGCCTGCTCCCAGCTCCCCTTTCCTCTGGCCGGTGCTCAGGTCAGCCTGGGTTCGCTCCTCCCTCTCCTGCATCTCCTGTATCCAGTCATCCAGTCTGATGGCTTAGCTAGTATCCTGAATGGCTAGTGAATCGGCCACTTTTCTCTCCACTGCCCTGTGCCTCTTTCACCTAGATGACAATTTATTTTCCAAACAGCTCTCCCCACAAACACTCTTACACCCTGTTCGTCCTTTTGTGCCTCTGCAACCAGAGTAAGCTGTCAAAAGCACAAGTTTGATCATGCGTTCCCCACCTTAAAGCCCTCTGAGGGCTTCCTGCCTTAAGGAATGAGGTTCAAGGTCCCTACATGGCCTTCAAGGTCCTCCACGTTCGGACCTCAGCCTGCCTTCTTAGCCTCTTGCATTATTCACTCGGTTCTCTGTATTTTGACAGCAGTAGTCTTTGCCTGGTAGCCCCTCACCTTTGTTCAGTGAGAGGTCAGGAACTGGCAGCCCATAGGTCAGTGCAGCCTGCAGATTTTTTTTTTTTAATTGAGGGATAATTAACACATAAAATGCACAACTCTTAAGTTTTCCTTCCACAGGTGTGCTTTTAAAACTCTTTATTTCCTTGTCAACATTTAAAAATTGGGAGATCTCACATCAAAATGCAGATTTCTGGGTTTTTTTTAAAAGCCAGAATTTGGTGACAGGGGCCCTCATTCTTACATGGCAGCCATGAGCTGGAACCATGTGTCAGCCACCCCCTGGTTGAGGCTCTGCCTGCTCCTGGCAGCCATAACCAAGCTCCTTTCCTCTTTACATTGCCTGCCAGGTCCCTGCTGTCCATTCCTTCTCCAGGTCTCAGCTGAGACAACACTTCCTTAGGGAAGCAAGCCTTCCACACCCCTTAAGACTAGCCGAGGCCACCCAATTACAGACTTGCATAGTCCCATGAACTCTCTTCACTGGAATTACCCATTACTTGATTGGCATCTGGGTTTTCTACCAGACTCTAGGCCCTTTGGGCCTAAGGACCAAGTCTGTTTTGCCCCTGCTACATTCCTCAGTCAGTGCCTGGCACAGAGAAAGACCTCAGGAAACAGTTGAATGAATGAACCAGGTGGTGGGGTGGGGTGGGAAACTGACTGCCTAAACAGTGTATCTGTAGAGAGGCTGAAATGGTGAGAAGCAGTGGTTGGTGAGACCAGAGAGTCTTGAGAAGAACCACAGCAAAAGGGACCTTGGCATTGAGCTGAAGCGTGAACTTTAACTTGAGAGATATTGAGAGGCATTGAAGGAGTTTAAACAGGGAGGCCCTTAAGTTTTCAAAAGATTACCTGCCCATGTGAAGGGCAGACTCAAGGTCAGCCAGACAGGAAGGACAGAGTTGGGAGATCATGGGGTGACCCAAGCTGGATGTAAAGGCCTGACCCATGGCCCTGGCTATAGGGATAGAAAGGTCAGTGGTGGGCCACGGGGATTCTCTGTCAGCTGTGGTAGGGCAGAGCCTGGCTCATGCAGACATGCAGGAGAATTTGGCTGCTGGGAGTTGGAGGAGAAAGGGAGGAAAGAGGTTGGATCATGGATGGAGGATGAATGATGGAGGGTTAATGAATGATAGAAGGATGATGGCCTGGCTGGCAACAAGATGATAGAGTATCATGGACGGACGGACCAACGGACGGATGGACGGATAGATGGTAGATGGCTGCCTGAATGGTACCTGTTAGTGGGTTTTTACATACTCAGACTTCGCTGCAGGTTGCCAGCATACTTGTCTCTGGCATTTGGTCCAATCATTGAGCAAATAAGGACTAGAAGAACTGCGTTTCAGCTCAAGAAATTAACCATACTGCCCCTAGCCAGGCCCTGAACATGTCAGGCCATCCCAGACACTGAGCCCAAGGCTCCAAATGCCTGGACTCCAGGTTGGGGAGGCAACAGGTATGTAAGCCTCTGCAGGTGGTTCTCCATCTGGCCCAGATCCTGAGAGGAATGGCAGTTTCCCTCTTAGAGTGACTTCCTGTGAAAACACGATAAACAAGCTCAGAACTTAAACTTTGGGTCCCTGGGCCTTAGGAGACGATCTCTTCCAGCCTCTCTTCGCTATTTAGAATCCGAAAGCAGCCCAGCCAGGGCCTGAGCCAGGCCCAGAGCTGTGAGGCCAGGGCCCTGTGGTCAGGCCTGTCAGAGGCAGGCAGGCAGGCAGTGCTGGCTTGTGAGCTCCATTGTCAGATGGCCCCTCTCCTCATTCATCCTGGGCACAGGAGTCTGATGGGGTGACTCTTGAGGGCTGGAGGTAAGAGGTGGCACAGGCATAGAGGAGAGAGCTACTCATGGGAGGGAAAGTGGAGAGCAGTTCTTGGGCGACAGGAAGTGGGCGTGGGGCCCCCAGCTGGCAGAGTGTGGAGAGAGTCTTTAACCTGACGGGCCAGTGCATGGGCGCCATCTTTGCCGGCCACCTTGTGGTGCACCTGACTGCTGTCTCCATCGATCCAGCAGATGCCAACGTGCGGGACAAGAGCTATACAGGGCCCCTGCCCGTCTTCAACCGTAGCCAGCACGCACACGTCATTGAGGACCTGCACTGTAACCTGTGTGATGTGGATGTGTGAGTGCATGTGGACTGGGGGGTGTGCAGGCAGTGAGCACGCCCAGGGATCACAGCTGGGGCTCAAAATGGAGAGGGGCATGCTCAGGGCTTTACAATCATCTGTATGTCTCAGAACCCTCATGTTTTACACAGTCAAGAATCTTGATAGAGGGACAGAGAATTGGTGGGTCCCTGAGAAGGTGATTGGAAATGAAGGTGAGGAATAACGTTTCCAACAGAGATAAAGTAGGAAACATTTGGCACTGCCACAAACATTTTAATAACTAACTCTGCCGGTGTCTCCCCCGCCCCCCCACCTCCTGCATCTCTTACAAGCATCCCCAGATAGGGGCAGGAGGCAGTTTAACACTTGAGTACTCACTATGTGCTAAGCAGTTATGTACAACCACCCTGCAAGGTGGGTAGCATCTTTCCCACTTCCCAGAAAGGCTGAGAAGCCTGCCTAAAGTCACGCAGCTATTGACTAGCGGAGTCAGGTTCACAGCCCAGCCTGCCTGGCCTCCAAGCTGATACTGTTATCCTTGTTTACCCATGAGGAATCTAAGGCCCAGAGACACCAAGTGACTTGCTCCAGGTCACACAGCTGGTGGGGAGAGGAATCAGAATGTGCAGAGCCCATTCACACCCCTTCGGCTGGTCCAGACTACCTCCCTAGGACCCTCCCAAACTCCTGGTAGGGGATTGGGGGTGGGGGTGTGGTCCAAAGCTGGCTCCACACTTCTAATCTAAAGACCCAGTCAACCTGTTAAGGGAGTCTGTCCACAGGAAAGAGTAAGAGCATCAGACCATCCATTCACTAGGCATCAGTCGGCACCTGGTCCTGAGTGGCTGCTCTGGGGGTTGCTGCCCATTCCAGCGCTACAGGCCCTAGCCGGTTCTGGGGGAGAGGGTCACACCCACTCTTCCATACTCCCTTGGGCCTTCCCTGAGTCCCTCCACAGGGTGGGAGACTCTCATCTGACTTGTTAATGTGGCCTCCACCTCATCTGGCCCCCTGCAGTGAGCTGCCCTGAAACTTCTATCCAGATGTCAGCTTGCTCCCTTTGGATTAGACCAGACAGACTGAGGGTTTCTGCAAAAAATGCCCATAAGGTGCCCATGGAATGGCAGGAAAACAAAGACCCAAAAAATAGCCATGTCAGGAAGAGCTGTGTAGGCCCAAGTCCCCTCAGCCTGGGTCTCTTCTCCCTGGCCCCAAACCTGCCCATCATCTCCTGGCTTGGTGCAGGGGACCTTACTTGGAAAGGAAGCCCCTTCTCTGTTTCACTGCCCTCACTACCACCACCCAGGACCTGGGTGCACAGTCTGGGGGCAGGGCAGTTAATGCCCCTCAACCCCCGCCTCCTGTCGGCCCCTCGCTTCTGGCCCCACGTGGTCCCTCCGAAACACATCCAGTCCCCAGCCCTTTGGAAACGAAGCCGCCTCCGGGTGCCTCACCCTGCAGTACCACCAGAGGGCGGCGGCTCCCGGTGGTTACCTCGCGCCTTGCCCAGGGCCCGCTTCTCCCTGTGGACCCCGCTGCCCCAGCTTCAGGGCCACGAAGGGCCCGGCCAGCCCGCCGACGGCGCTGTACCCCTCCCCCCACAGGAGTGCTCGCTCCAAGCATTGCAGCGCCTGCAACAAGTGTGTGTGCGGCTTCGACCACCACTGCAAGTGGCTCAACAACTGCGTGGGCGAGAGGAATTACCGGTGAGAGCCGGCGGATGCACGGGTGCCTAGGGACGTGCGTGTCTGAGTGCGTGAGCTAGGAACCTTGTCGCCTGCGGACAAGGGGTGGGGGCGCATCCGTGCGTGCTGGTCTGAGAGTGATGCTCCTAATAGTGCTGGCTGGGACAGCTGAGGGTGGTTTTGTGGTCTTTCACCTTGCTGACCCAGGGAAAGGCCGGGAGCTCAATGGGGTGGCTGCTTTGCCCAGATACCTTTGGCTTCCTGAAGAGCTGGGCCTGTGGGGTTAAAAGCTGGCTCCCCAGCCCAGCATGGGTCCCTCTGAGTTCTGGGCCTTTGGCAAGCTGGAGCACCAGGGTGTTGACCACTGCCCACTGCTGGGCCCAGGCTTTTTCTACACAGTGTAGCGTCGGCCTTATTGGGTGTCCTGCTCCTCGTGTTGGTGGCCACCTATGTCTTCGTTGAGTTCTTTGTCAACCCCATGCAGCTGCGTACCAACAGCCACTTTGAAGGTCAGTCTGAGCCCCCCTGCCGCAGGCCTGTCCTGTTCACAGGTCCCAGACCTGGCTGAGCAGTCTTCCTGTGCCCTGCAGTCCTAAAGAATCACACAGATGTATGGTTTGTGTTCCTGCCCGCTGCCCCTGTGGAGACCCAGGCTCCGGCCATCCTAGCCCTGTCTGCCCTTCTCATCCTTCTGGGCCTGCTCTCCACAGCCCTGCTTGGCCACCTGCTCTGCTTCCACATTTATCTCAGTAAGTGTCCCACACACCTGCTTTGTAGGGCCAAGCTCCCTAGGCTGCAGGGATGTACCTGTTGAGCTGTAGAGCCCTGAAGCCCTGCCCCTTCCCAGTGCTGGCTCTATGGTGACTGGCCTCACCTGGACATGGGGCAGTGGTTTCAGCCTGGGGCTGGGTGCCCTCCCTCCCCTTCTGAACTCTGGAGTCTCCTCTCCACTGCACTGAGCCCTCTCCTCCTCCCCCACCCTCAGTGTGGCACAAGCTCACCACCTATGAGTACATCGTGCAGCATCGCCCACCACAGGAGGCAAAGGGTGCCTACAGGGAGCTCAAGTCATGTCCCCCCAAGATGCGATCCATTCAGGTATAGAGGTGGCCCAGAGAGAGCTAAATGGGTGGGAGATGGGGTCCAGGGATGGGAGGGGTGGTGGGCCGTGCAGCAAGCAGCCATTTAGAAGACAGGGCAAAGGGAGGCAAGCCTGGACCAGCAACCAGGGTTGGGGCTGCTGTGGAGCAAGAGGGTAAGGACAAGCCTGGACTGAGCACCTGCTGGCTTGCTCAAGTGTGGGCAGAACCGAGGGATCCCTACGTTTCCCAAGCCCCAGGTACGCGCCCGTCCAGGCTCCAGGCATGTGCTGGAGGGCGCGGAATGTGGGAGCCTGGAAGCAGGCAGGTTGGGGCTGCACGAGAAGACAGGGATGGACCAGCAACTGGGCCAGCAAATGGCCACCAGGATGGGGCCGTCTGTTCTCTCCACCCATGACACTGAGCTTTTATACCAATTATTCTGACTAATCCTTAGAACAGTCCACGAGGCAGGTACTGGTACCACACCCATATTGACGGTGAGCATATTGAGGCCTAGAAGCTGGGTCTCTGCATTCTCAACCAGAAAGCTACTACCTCAACCCCCCAGCTCAGGTTTTGGCCCGGCCAGCCCAGCTGTTGACCAGCTCATTCTCATTCCCACGCCCCATGGCTTCCTGAGGTCAGCAGCTGGGGGTGGGGGTGGTCCAGTCTCAGAGCCCCCAGGGACTGGGAAGGCAGGGGGCCCAGGCAGGCCTTGCTGGCAAGGCTGAACCCTGGATCCTGAGTCTTCATGGCAACTGGACACAAACACAGGCTAGTGGGCGGGTTGGGGGAGGGCCGGGACCCAGCCTCTCCTGTTCTCGTCACCAGGGCTTGACCCTGCCTGTGGGCCAAGCTGCCAGGCTAGAGTTCCTGGGCAGGCCTG